CCCCCGATAAAGTGCTTAACAGTCAGCAATAAGGGACGAAAGCTAGAACCACGAGGTATATAAAACAATCAGCAGATAACAGCCAAGTTGCAGCTGTCCTTTCTTCCTTACCTTTTATTCCAAATAGTCTTTCTTTTCTTCTGTAGTTAAAATTTTACTTCTTTCATATATGGGCAGTGAGAGATAATGCAGTATTTTTTCAGACTGTCCTTACTTGGCATCTGTGTTCTGCAGGAGCTGGCCCCACTGGGGTCTCGCGCACACCCTGATCTCTTGGGGCCCCTGGGACTTTCCTTCCATCCCTTCTGCCTGGAATGCCCTGTCCCCACCCCCACCCGATGCCTGGTCATCACCCCTGGTCCTTCAAAGGCTGACCTGACCTTTCTTCCCCCAAAGCCCGTCCTTAGCACTCGGTACAGCATTCAGTGGGTAGGACTGCAACTGTCTGTGTGTCTGTCTTTCCATGCAGCTCCAGGATGGTAGAAAATTGGGCACCTCTGCACTCGCATTTCCAGATCCTGGGGCAGCCCAGGTAGCCCATGGACATGGCAGGTTTGCCGACTAGAACAAATGAATTCCAGCCTCCTTTGCAGCAGGTAAGTGTGGGGCTGGGGTGGGGCTGTGGGGGTGCCCAGGCCTCAGCTGTCAGGCTGTGCTGCCTGGGACTCCGCACCGCCTTCTCTCTCCTGCTCTGGGGGCCTGGCTGGGTGCCAGCGAACCCCCTCCACAACCCCAGTGGGGCCCAGCTTGGAGCTGGGTGGTGGCTGGGGGCTCTAACTGGCTTTAAGGCGCTCCCTAGCACCTGTGTGTATCTTACCCATTGTTCCCCCTGAGAGGAGCCAGGGAATGAATGAAACTGCCCACACTCTAGAGCCCAGGGAACCTCAGTCAGACAGGAAGACAGATGGAGGGAAGCGAGAGGGGCTGTGAGAGAAAAGCTGAGAAACCGAGAGGCAAAACAAGGCCTGCGGTGACTGACTCAGGGAGAAAAGCAGGGAGGTGGGGACTGAGGATGGGACACAAACCTCCTCCTGATTTCCTTCCTGGAGGGGAAAGCTGGCCCAGGTGAGTGTGATGTTGGGGCTGATGGCCTCCTGTTCAGGCCACACCACCAGCCACAGGGAAAACCTGGACTGGACGAGCCTGGCAGTGACCTACTGACTCTGACCCAATGCCCAGATTCTCCAGTACGTGATAGACATGGTCATGGTCAGACACAACTCCAGTGATGGGCCTGTGGACACTCAGAGGCCCCAGGACCCGCTGGTGGCGCCCCTGCTCCACACTTCACATCCCCGACCTCTGCCCTCTCTGATGACCTGCTTCCATCCCTGCTCTCCTCTGCTCCTAATTTCTCCTGTGCTTGGGAAAGAGGGGCATTAGAGGGCAGGGATACACACATTCCTGCCTCAGGGCCTTTGCCCTTCCATCCACTTCCTTGGGCTGGAGTTACCTTCCTCAGGACCTTCACCTGGTTGCACCCCAAATCCTCTCTCCTTAGAGAGCCTTCCCTAGCACCCCTCAACAACAATCTTCCCTCCTGTGACGCTCCAGTCCTTCCTCCTGCTTTATTTTCTTCATGCACCTGTTGTGACATGCAATCTGTGCATGCGTGTACATTTGTACGTGTGTATATGCTGTTTGTTAGTTTACTTTTTCATGACTTGTCTCCCCCACTTCACATGCGTTACATGAAAGCAGGGACCTTTCCAGTTTCTTTCTCCAAAGGGCCTAGAACAGCGCCTGACACAAGTAAGTGCCCAATAAACCTTTGTGGAAAGAAAGAAAGGAATTGAGGAAGGAAGGGAGGGAGGAGGAAAGAAGGGAAGGAGGGAGGGAGGGAAGAGAAAAAAGACTTCCTCCCTCCCCCTCCCTCCCCAAGGGCTGCAAGAGACACACTAGGAGTTTGAGAAAGGCCACCCCCTTTATTGCCTCCCACCTTGGGCGCCCAGTGCTGTTGTGCCACCTCCTGCACCGGGCTGGTCCCCACCACTGTTCAACCATCTCACACCCTTGGGGTCCTCGGGGTCCACAGAGGTAGGAGCTGGCCTGACTGTCCTGATTGTCGTTGCTTCTCCATCCTACAGTGTGATTTTGGCTCATGGGCAGGTAGGTCACTCAGCCTCAGGGTCAGCTTGGGACACACAGCCTTTGATGTCCCTCAGCCCAATTCCCTGGAATTCTGGGGGTCCCAGGTGACTTACTGTCTTCATCGGTGGCTCAGGAAACTTTGTGGCCAATCCCCTGCTGGCTGCTTCTCCTGCCACATCCAGTGGGAGGCTGCTCTGCTGGATGCTCTTGCTGCTCTCGCTGGAGCTGCTGCCTTTCTGGCCACCTCTGCTCTCCCTGAAACTGGAACATAGGTTTTCTCCCTGAGTGATTATAGTTCCATTTTAAACTCATCAAAGTAGCCATGTGCTTTCCCACTCAGACTAATTTTCTTTTCAAGGACGCTGGAGCAAGTTCCTCAGCACCCTGTTTACTGGTCAGGGTATGTACCTTTCCATTATTTGCCGCGCCAAGGCAAGGCCTCCTCCCTGGGCTGCGGCAGGCTTTGGTTCAGACGTGTTGATTTAGGCAGCGGCCCCAGGGAGCGAGCGCAGTGCCTCTTCCAGCACAGCAAGCTCTTGCTCCTTTAATTTTTTTTTATTTGAGAGAAAGAGAGAGAGAAGAGAAACATCAATTTGTTTTTCCACTTATTGATACATTCATTGGTTGACTCCTGTATGTGCCCTAACCCGGGACTGAATCTTGGTGTAATGAGACAACGCTCAAACCAGCTGAGCTACCAGGCCAGGGTGCTCTTGGGGCTTAACAGTTTCTTTGGCCAGGAACACTCCTGCCCACTCCCTGCTGTCCCTTTGCCAGCTTAACCCCAGGGAGTCCTGCAGGTCTATGATTCTATGCCACACGCCCCAGAAGCCTTCCCTGACCCTCATATCTGGGTTAAGCACCCTTTTTATGTGCTGACTCTTTATTTTTAAATATACCTTTTTTATTGATTTCAGAGAGAGGAAAGGAGACAGAGAGAGAGAGAGAAACATCAATGATGAGAGAGTCACTGATCGAGCCCACAAACTGGGCTAGTGCCCTCACCAGGAATTGAATCCTGATTGCCTGGATCCTAGGTCAATGCTCAACCCCTGAGCCATGCCTGGCCCGGCTGACTCTTTAGTCCTGAGAGAATATGGCTGTCCCTGTCACATTCATTATATCCCCAAATGTTGCCCAGCACTTGGCACATGGAAGGGACTTGATAAAACTGCTGTAAAGAGTGAATGAATTCTGTGTCTTTGCATCTTACAGGGATTTAGGACTGGGGACCCATCTCCTATGCCACCTGTATTCTCTGCAGCCCGAGGTGAAGGCCTCTGCCCGAAGCACGTGCCCAACAGGAGTGTGCTGGGTGTTTCTGTCTGCTGGGGGTGGGGAAGCCGTGCTTCGAGGGGCCACAATGGTTAGGATGCCTCTTTCCTGTCCTCCCCACACAGGACAAAGGGTGGGATTGCCAGATAAAATACAGGACACTCAGATTTAAATTTCAGATAAATGACAAATACATTTTTAGTATATTACATGTAACATGTAGGGCATATTTATGCCAAAAAATATAAAATTTAAATTTAACTGGGCCTCCTGGATTTTTCCTTCTTTCTAAATTGCATAACCTTGGCAAGGGCAGATATGATTAGCCAGGTGCTGGGGGACCTGAGGTCCTGTTTACATGGTACATTCTGCTCACTGTCTTGCTCCTTCCTGCTCCGTAAATGCTTTGGCCAAAGAACAGGGTGAGTGCCAGGCATAGTTTCCCAGAGCTGTCACTAGTGCACTTATTCTGGGGTATCTCCTTGCATCTCAACCCAGACCTCAGCTACTGGACTGGGTGGGCAGGGAAGGTCTTTCTGAGGAGGGGATGTTCAGAGCTGAGATTTGAAGGAATGAGCCAAATGATGGGGTGGTGGGGGCATTCCAAAGGAGAGGTGGGGATGAACTTCGTGAGTCTGAAAACCTAAGGGCTAGTGTAGGTTTGTGAGTGTGTGAGGGGAGGAGTTTACTTAGAAAATGTCCTGGGCTACATCCTAGGTCCCCAAGAAGGGCCCTTGAGCTGCTCTCCTTGCCCAGCCCACCCCAGATGTAGGAGCTTCCAAGGCAGAAGCCTCAGCAGCATGGAGGGAGCAGGGAGGGAGAGTGAGTGTTTGCCATCCTGGGTTGGGGATTTTGGTAACAGGGGCAAGGCCATGGATCCTGGTGCTTGACTGCAGTTTGGTGGAATCACCTGCTCTTTGAAATGACTGGGTGGAGCCATGAGCCCTGAGAGCTAAGACGGCTGGCAGGGTGTGTTCTCCCTCCTAAAGGGGCTGCATGGCCGTGGGGGGTAGGGGGGTGGGGGAGGAAGGACCTAAAGGGCCCAATCCCACCTCAGCAGGAGCCTCTCTCCTGGCTCTGGAAGGGGCTGGGGGCACTCACATGGAGTTCCCAGGGAGCCTCTGCTCCTCTGCGCTCTGCCCACCCCAGAAATGGCTCAGCTCCACATTCAACTCACAAGGCATTGTTGCCTGCTGCTTGCCTGTTGGCACCCTAAGGAAGCTGTTTCTTAATTTAAAATGTCCATGAACTCCCTCCAACTGGAAAGCTACCCCAACAAAGTTTATGTTCATGGAGGGGTTAAGCTTGGTCCCTCTGAGGGAGGCAGCTGTGTTTGTGCTGTGAGCATCCCTGGGCGGTTTGCCATGTGCTTGAAAGTGTGTTCTCTCTTAAGGCCCACTCTGGCCAGGGCCTTCCGGGAACCTTTGGCCAATGCCCATGGGAAGCCCACAGTGCTGGGGGCAGGTTGGGGAGGGGTGTCCCTTTGCTGAGGCTCATTTATGTGTTCAGGGAAGGAAACCCTATTTCCCTCCTACCCCCAGGCCCGTGGGGAGTCTTGCCAGGCATTCAACAAGAAAAGGCCTTTGTTCTGAGCTTGTAGGAAGTCTGTGCTGGACTTGTTATGTACTCACAGCATTTCCTGGAAAAGAACCTGGACCGGGGCTCCTGGCCCCTAACCTTGGCCTGAGCCCCTCCTCTCTAGGCTTTCATGACAGGCTGGTAAGGACTGATTTGTACCCTTAGGCTGGTTGGCCTGGGGGTTGGGTAGTCTAGTCTGTCTCAGGCAAAGGCCCCTGGCTTGGGGAGAGGGGAAAACGTTACCTCGTGTGTGTGTGTGTGTGTGTGTGTGTGTGTGTGTGTGTGTGCACGCGCGCCAGGGAACGGGGGTGTCCAGCTTTCCTGTAGTGACATCTCCTTTCTCCAGGCTGCGACGCGGGCCAAGGCCCGGGCCGTGTCTGACACCTAGTGGCCACCTGCCACCGGGGCGGGG